TCAAATGAAGTCCAGACAAATTTGTCATTCACTCCTTATACACAATTTTTTTCCCGTCTCAGTCCAGTTCTTTTGTGTGGAAGTGTCTATCAACACACATCCAGGTCAATGAAGAGCCCAACAAAAGAGACAAGACTTACTGCATGAACTGGGACATACAGCTGCTCTTTCCGTGCCTTCAATTTCCCTGTCTCTAAAACARAAAGCTCCCCGGCCTTGCACAGCCCTCAATTTTGAGACCATCTTCTTTAGTTTGGTCATACATGAGATACATTGCAGCCCTGGAGACTTTTCCAGATTCAATGTTTAGTTCAACTGGACGAGATTGGAATTAAAGCATCTAGCTACAATTACCAACAGAGAAAAATGCCTTGGAGTCCTGCTTGTGAAATGTCAGTTCTTAACTGACAAACCCACATGGTTAACAACAGCTAGTACTTGTTTATACTTACTCCCTTCCTAGTATGTTGCTATCAACCATTCAACTTGACGTTCTTCAGAACTGTCAAACATGACTAACTGTACAGTTGCAACACTAAATCTACGAAGAGACATATCCATGACTTCATGGATTAATATTATGGAACAGCCTAAGGCAGAGCTGTCATCTGTTAGGGCTGGAGTTAGAAAGGAACATCAAAGCCATTTACCTGAGACACTTGACAAGCTCCACTCCCATAAACACCTTGGAAGGGAATCCTACTGGAAACTCCTTTAATCTAGAAATATCTTCAGATTCAGAGGCTGGGCTGGTAACACAGCTCCCCTACTCAGCTACCAGATTCTTGAGTAAATACATTAGCCAATGAAAACAGAGCATCTTTCTTAACATTACTCAAAAAATGACAGTTTTATGTGTTTCCATCCTTCAATAAAAATCACCTAAAATTCAGGAATTTTCTGTTCTGRAAGACTATCAATGCTATAAACTAGMAGGACATCAGCGAGATCARCCCCTACATGTTGGGAGATCATATCTGTGGAATGGTATCTACGCCACCACTTGAGACCTGGACAGGCTAGAGAGCTGGGCAGAGAGGAACCTCATGAAGTTCAACAAAGGCCAGCATGGGGTCTTGCAGCCCATGAGGAATAAACTCATGGAGCAGTACAGGTTAGGGATTAGCCTGCTGAGATCCAGCTCTATCCAGAAGAAACTGGGAGTCAAGTTAACCATGAGCCAGCTGTACATCCTTGCAGCCGAGAAGTGCCACGGTTAACTCTGGGGTGCTTTAGGAACAGCGTGGACAGCACGCTGAAGGTTATCCTTCYYCTCTAYTCTGCATTGGTGAGGCCATATCTGAGTGCTGTGTCCAGTTTCAGGTTCCCTAGGTCAAGAAAGGCAAGGAACTCCTGGAGAGGGCCCAGCAGAAGGACACAGATGATGAGGGAACTGGAGTATCTCTCTTATGACAGGCTGAGAGASCTCAGTTTGTTTAGCCTGGACAAGAAACGATTGAGAGGGGATCTTATCAATGCTTACAGATATCTTTAGGATGTGTGCCAGGAGGATGGGGCCAGGTTCTCTTCAGTGACAGGACAAGGGGCAAGCAGCATAAACTGAAACAYGGGACATTCCATCTGAATATGAGGAAGAACCTCTTTACTTTGAGGGTGACAACACTGGAGCAGGTCACCAAGAGTGGTTGTGGGATGTCCTTTTCTGGAGCTATTCAAAACCTTTCTGATCTTGTGCAACCTGCTCTAGCTGAAGCTGCTTTAGCAGAGGGGTTGGACTAGATGATCTCCAGAGGCTCCTTCAAACCCCAGCCATTCYGYGRTTCTGTGATCCTAGTGATAATTGAGTGATTTTTATCTGATTTTGTTCAGGATTTTGCAACTTGCATTCAATAGCATCAGCACTGTACAGATATTGGAGAAGATACAGTGTTTAAGATACTTCTCCCAGCCTTTATAGACTTAGGAATCTTCACACATCCCTTAAGAGTTAACATGATGGTGTCTCAATGGCTGTAACGAAGGTCCTCAGAAAGCACTGGAGTGTCAAAACTGCARAGCTGTTTCAGGGTGTTCCAAAGTGCCTCTGGGAAGTCAGATGTCTGCAAAAACTAACAATAGTTCCCTGCTCCCTCTCAGAAGTTATGAGAAAAGAAATGGAACATCCTCAGCTACTGAAGTTACAGAGTCACAGGCAGACCAGCATACAAATTACTTTCCTGTTGTAATGACTGAAAAGATTTGGCTTCTCTCTCCTCTACCCATTCCCCCAACAGATTCATGTGGGAGGAAAAAAAAAATCAGCAACATCTTGTTTTACAGAATTTTGAGTACTAGCAACAGCTTCGAGGCAGAAAATCAAAAGAAGACTATTGACAGCTTCAGAAAATATACATAAGCTACTACAGCATTCATGTGAAATGCAAGTTCTGCCTGCAGAGAAACAACTTGTCAAGACCTAAAACTTCCCAGGAAAATGCACTCCCCATGAGGCTCTCCTTCATACTTGACCATCTCAAGGTCAGCACACACACCACACCGTCACCTCCAGGGGTTACTGAMCATCTTGTTCTGAGTTTTGGCACAAAGGCAGGATGCTTTATTTCACTGCTGTGTGCTTCCCTGGCAAGTACCTGGGCTTGAYAGTCAGCCCAAAGTGCCAATGGAGAGCTTGTGCTGCTCCCACAGTTCACCACACCTGCATGTTTCCAGCAGTTTGACAGTGGCAAGCTCTGCTCTAACATATTACCAGAATTGCACCTATTTGTGCTACTTCTTCTGGACCTAACAGCCCATAGTAAAATGATTCTAAATATAAGGTGCAGCCAGGACTAAAAACTCTAAAAGCAAAGCCCAAGCCACCTCAAATACAGGGCTATCACCTGGCATGCATTCACAGGCACCTCGACAGCAGCTCCAAAAAGTGCTGGCAAGTGGGCCGGCTCCTCCGATGTGCAAGAGGTACACACACATCAGGAGCAGCTGCTCAAACCTACAGCCTCAGATGATGGTATGGATTGATATGCTTCTACCTCAGCATTTTCAGTACTCTACTATGTCTGCCATTAAGCAAAGCACCAAAGCTTTGAATTTATTTGTTCTAGTTTCCCTTGTTTTTTTTTTTCTCTATGCTTATTTCAAGCATTATCCCTGTGCAAAAAGAACCAGCCCACAATCAGCTCCCAAAAGGAATGTGATTATGGTGTTGTGGCAGCAGGATTTAGAAATTACCAAYATCTTACACAAGAACTAGCTTTTATGTTTCTCCAATCACAGCTTCTCCCTCAAAAAAGGCAAAAAGTCCTCATCAGAGAGGGGGAGAAGAAAAACTGAACATGGAGAAAGAACTGAAAAAAAAAAAGGAAGAGATGAGACCAAGTGAGTGAGACCTCTTGTGAAATGCTTATTGCTCCATGAGATGAGCAACCTCCCATCTCATCTCTTCTTTCCTTGATGCTACTATCTATCTCAGTTCAGAGAAGCAGAAGGGAGGAGGTAGCATTTTAYTGCTTTGCGAGCAGATGCACTCTTGGAAGGGGAAGAGAATAGCAGAGGGCCCCTATTTTTAGAGACTGGAAGGATGGGTGTCTGCTACTGCACAGTAACTTACTGGCACTGAGCTTGCCTTCMAATCAAGGCAACCCTGAGCTCATATAATGTGGTGTTCTACTCAAAATGCTCTTTCACTCTGGTTCATATGGCTGTTACGCAATTCTTCTATTAGTAAATAAAATCTCATTGACAGCTTTCCATGAGTGTCCCGAGACAAGAGCCAAGCAGGTCATTGACAGGTATCTGCTGCATTCAGTTACTCCYAGTTAATCCTGGACACCAGAAGACMTTTCTAAAATGATGTATGTGTAATTTTTGGCATTTGATCTATTTTTTTTAATGACACAGCTAATCTAAAAGCTGCTAGGGTAGAGGAGAAGAAAAGAAAAGGAAAAAAAGAAACTACAGCTTCTATGAAAGCAGCACTAGACTGGAAGTGCTTAATGTCAGCTCTGTAGTAAGCACATTTATACTCAGTAAAAAGCAAAGGGAGAATTTGTTCAAGATCCTGGAACGCTGTTAAAGCAGAATTCAACTACTCTTTTCACAAGGAGAAAGTTAAGAATGTCACAAGTGGCAACAGCAGACTGCAGAAGACTTTTGCTGCCAAACCCTGAGCAAGAGGAAGATAAATCTTTCGCATGCCCCGTGGGAAGTTAGAAGCACAGGTTCCTGATTAAACTCGATGCTATTCCTAAAGCAGAATACTTTATTTTCTTTTTTTAACAGCAACCGAAAATGTGGATCTGGCTGCGTGGACGGCACAGCCCCTGCGCACTCTCGGGGTTCAGGGATCCGCGGCCGGCAGTGGGGTGTGGGGACCGGCGGAACCCCCTCCCGGGCTCCACCAAACCCCCGGGGAGGGCACCGGGACAGCCGGAGCCACCCTTCTGGTCGGAGCGAGGAATATGAGGGTTTTTTTTAACGACACGGGGGAGAATTTAACTCCTATCAGGGCGCCCCGGGACCGGCACTAGGCTGCCGCTGTGGCTCAGCTCTACCAGGGACCCCCGACCCCGGACCCGGGGCGGCTCGGGGGGCTCCGCTCGGGGCAGAGGGACCCGCCGAGACCCCTGTGGGGCGGGCAGGGGTGCGGGGCGGTCACCCGGCGGTGCCATCGCTCACCCCCGCGRGGCAGCTGTCACTCCCCGCCGCGCATCGTGAGAGGAAAACAAAACAGAACWAAACAAAGCAAACAAAACACAAACTACAGAGTAAATGAAAATAAACAGGCAAGCGGCAGCGATTCACAGGCTGCGTCCCCCCGCTGCTCCCCGCTCCCCCATACCGGGCAAACGGGGTTCTCCGGCCAAGAGAAGGGACAAGTTCCCTCCTGTTGCGCCCCGCTGAGGTTTSCCCCCTCAGGCTCGGCCGGGGAAGCGCCCGGAGCCCCCCGCGCCGAGCGGCGGAGGCGGGAGCAGGTGGGCGCCTCACACAAAGCCCCATTCACGGCGCCGCCGAGCGCTGCCGGAGCCGCGCCGCGCCCTCACCTCATGGAGCGCCCGCGTCCCGCTCCGCCGGCGCCGGGAGCCGCGCACCGAGCGATCCGCCGCGATCACAAGGGCGGAGCGGCGGCGCCGAGCGCCCCGGGACACTCGGGGGCGGGAAGGGATGGGATGGGATGGGCGGGACACGGCGGACACGTGATGGCGGGGGCTGCGAACCGCGGGGGCGGTGGGGCGGGCAGGGGGCTCGGCTCCGCCCTGCCGAGCGGGGAGGGGCTGCGGGCGGAAAGAGAGGCGGGGGTGGTGCTGGGGTCTCTCCAAGGAGACCACCGTGCCGGCTCGGGGCGGGTGTGTGTCTGTGAAGGGGTGTGGGGAATCGCGGAGTGTGCTGAGTAGGAAGGGACCCACGAGGATCATCAAAATCCAACTCGTGGTCCCGCACTGGACACCCCAAGAATCACACCGTGTGCCTGAGAGCATTGTCCGATTGTCCRTTGAACTCTGACAGGCTGGTGCTGTGACCACTTCCTTGGGGAGCTCTTCCAGTGCCCACCCACCCTTTCCCCGATACCCAAACTCAACCCCCCCAATACAGCTCCAGGTGYCATTGGTGATCACAGAAAAGAGACCAGTGTTTTGCYSTTCTCTTSCCCTCATGAGGAAGTTGGAAGGTGGGTGCCAAACTGCTGCCATCTCTCGATGCCTTCAGACCTCCTTAGGAGAAGGCTGGGGACGGGGCAGGGGCCAAAGAGATGTCAAGTTCTAAAGAAGCATAAGTGCTTTGGTGCATGAGGGAAGTCCCACGTTTTGGTTCTCTCCAAAGCTTCCCTGTGAGTCAAATGCCCCTTTGTCAGACCTCTAGGTAGGAAGGATTGCTTGAGAAGAATGAGAAGTTGGCTACTTCTTGCATAGGATCCAGATTAACAGCTAGTGTAGTGCTTGGTTGCAGAGGTCAGAGAAGCACATGTGGGCTTTATAGCAGCACCAAGGTTCTGATCCACTGGATGTGCTCTAGGAGTCTCTTTCCTGTRTAGGCCAAACCCTTTTCTCAAAGTTGTACCTCTAGAGTGCCCTTTTTTGAGTCTGCCAAGTTGATGGCAAAACCACCTCGATACCTCACCAAAAAGATCACCTGTGCCAGACCTTGTGCACCCTGTCGACAAGTCAAGCTGTTCGGTGAGCCTCTACCTATCATCCCATMACAAGAGTCCTGCCAGAGCTGCTTGCAATCTACTGGCCCCACTGACCACAACTGGGTTCCCTGACTGAAAAGTCCTCCTTTAATCTCTGTGATCACTCTTATCTTCTCTGTTCTCAACACCACTCACACCTTCTGAAGTGGCAAACAGTACAGGGAGGAAATGAGCACTTCAAAACTTCATGTCATTATTGTAATAGTGGCAAGTATTGTTATTAAACAAATACACTTGATTATCACCAGAAGTATACTTTCCTCTGCTAATCTGCAGTCCTTACCTTGGTCAATTTGTTCTGCATATGTTTTACGTCTGAGAACAGCCATCATTGTGCCAGCCCTATTTCCTTTCTTTTTTTTTTAATTAAAAAGACACTCCCCAAAATGTTAATCTAATACAGTTAATGATGAAAATTTAATTTGCACAAAACTAAAAAAACAGGAGAATCAAACTTTCCCTGTAATGCTTGCTCATCAGCTACAAAATATGTTCCATTTATTATTGAGTTATCTTTAATTTCTACTATTTTTAAAGCCAAATACATGTGTACAGCATTGTTGGAAAGTCTCCTGCCTACTTACACCAACACAGCAAATATCTGTGTAGTCACTAGTGACTTAAAATATTACTCCTTATCTTTTGCAAGATAATGAGCAAGTTYGATTTTTATTTCCATTCTCCATGACAATATATAATAAAGATGGACTTTGGGTCTGTTTGCATGGGATGTTCACATATAAAATGACACATGMATAGCAGATAGTACCTTCTGTCTACAGTATCATAAAACGTTCCCTTCTTGAGAAGTGGTAAGTACCACAGTTACTACTTCCCAAAGAAGTATTGCTCATCCTGTAAGCAGTGGACCAAGGCTTTTGTGTTTGTTGTGGCAGCAAGCTTAAATGCATTAAACCAAACAGGTCTTTCACTGGGAACCTGACTGCCCTCCAGGTTACACTCCCTGCATGGAAGACCATTCGTTTATCCCTTCTTTTGTGAGCCCCGTTTGGGTCCCCTTCCAAGGGCTGGGCATTGCCTTTTATCCAAAACACTCCTATGTAATTTTGGGCTGGAGCCTCTGCAGGCAGCGGACAAAGCTGGCAACMAGATGAGCTCAGCTCTGCTCCACATTCTGCCCTCAGTGTGCTGCAGTACTCTGCCATAGTCATGTTCCATCTGTGCCTTTACTGTGGGGCAAACACAACTGTCTGAGAGTTTCATTAGATGCTCAGCACGAGCTAACAGAAATTGTTAATTAAACAGAGAGAACCTAATTTGCCAGAGGCAGAAGGTAAAGGACATCCTGCACAAGCAGCTTCTGTCAAAATCCAAGTATTAGCATGCTGACAGTGTGACACCCTTCCCRTACCCCTCCATTCCTTTGTGCAGAGGCATGATGTGAGGATGGGAGATGAGGACAATACCCTCCTTCTCTGCTCAGTCTCCTGGAAAACGTGAGAGGTTACACACAGTTTTGACTTGGAAATGGCTGCCCACATTAAGGATGTGATGAAAACACCTATGCACTCCTAGTAAAGAAACCACCTATGCATTCYTAGCCACTTCTCCAGAAGGGAGAGGCCTGGAATTGTCTTAAAGATGTCTTTAATCACGTCTTATTACTCTGTCTTGATAGCATCTGCTAATTAGCTTACCTTGTAGTTGTTAATTTTTTTTAATGCTGCTTCTGGCTAGTTAATTTTTTTTTTTTTTCTGCTTCTGGCTACTGCCTTTGGYAAAATGCAAAGCACTGGCCACATCTCCACCTAGATATTATTTGCAAAGGAAATCACACTCCTGAGCTGGCTGATTACTTCCTGGTATCCTTCAAGCAGCTTAAACCTGCTCTATAAGCTCTAAGCGCTGCATTTCAGTTCCCTTACAGGACTTGTTCTGGTCTGATTATTTTCAGTTGTAATATAGCTTGGTTTACTAATCCTAGCTGTTATTTTCACTAAAAAGAAAGTTTACGTTTAGATTTTGAGACATGTTTTTATTCCCAGACTGTTCTTTGCCTACAGTAATTTTTTTTGCATCCTTTGTAGCAGATGTCCCCCATAAATGCAAGGATCTCTGTGGYAACAAGTGAGAGAGTTAAAAAGTGACATTTTTATCTGCTTCCACCAGAGTGCTTTCTTTTTTTAATATCTTGTTAGCACAGAAAGGAGGTGATTGATGCCTCTTCACAATATGGTATGTTTAGAAAACTTGGTTGGGAATTTTTTGCCTTTACTGTTTCCCTGCTCTTTGTATAGCAACAGCGATGAGCCTGATAGGGGCAACACAAAAAAACACTAAAATTGAAGAAACTCACAACTGGAGCTGCTCAAACTGGGCTCTTAMCAGAGACAAAATCTTCAGAGAGAGGAAAGCCTACCTAGGGACTTCTTTTGCTTTGAACTGAACTTTCAAAGAGTGAAGGAAAAATCCAATAATAGTTGCAGGGAATTATCTAGCTTATTTCAACTTTCTTTTTTGAGATGGTTTTCCTCCACCTCTGAGAACCTTCTTCTTTCTCGTGGTTTTTACCTCCATACACRCCTTTGCACAACTTTCTGCAAGGAGCCCCAGTTTATAACTTGACCTCTTCATGGTCCCAGATGACATTTCTTGGAAAGCTCCAGTGAAGTTCAAGATGTTTTGTCTTTGTGAGCCACAGAGTCCTGCTTTGCCATGACCTCAAGCRGCACCATGAGGCTGGGCTGCCCTGTAAATGTGAATATTCCTCCCTTGCCACAGGAGCAGAAGTCAGGAGCTGAGGGAGGAGGCCAGGCTGGCTGTGTCACTGTTGCTGAACTCTTCAGATGTTTTGCAGCAGAGTGCTGAACCCTGAGGAGCAGCCCTAAACARCAGCCTTACCTGAGTGGGACTAAACAGATGCTCCAGTTAGTAGAGAACTGAAATATAGTTTATTGTTCTGTGTGAGAGAAAGGACATTATCTGCCTCTGGATATACTTTTCATTTTAGTTTGTAGCTACTGAAATATACAAAAGGAATTAATGCAATCCTTCTTAAGTACAAAGAGTAAAAATTGTCTTCTTTCTTTCCTTTCTTTTTCTCACATTATTATGGAAATCTGTGCTTGCATGTTAGAGTCTTTGATGTGAAAGTGATTTATGTAGTTTTAACTCAGAAAAATTATTTTCTTGGCTTTTTCACTAGCATCCAATCTAAAATACSTTTATCTTGTGTATCTCCCCTGTAGGGACAAACTCAGCTTTATGTCACATGGAAGTGGGCTTGATGATCTAATGCAGCTTTCCCACAGATCCTCAGAATTACTTGGTAACAAATTTAATTCTGAAATATATTTTTAAAAGCACAAGCCCACGGAAGCAGCAGAAGAAAATGACACACTCCTTACACAAACAGACTGTGCCTGAAATGGCAGAGCATCTATGCTTTTTTAAATTTAAAAAGGAAAAATTGTTTCATTCCTTCTTATAGAGAAGCTCACCCAGAAGAAGGATGAATGACCCAAAAGGCACCAAGACCTCTGGAGATAAAGAACAAAGCTTTGTTAAAAGACTGAAAGAATCACCAGGCTGTGTTTCAGGTCTCAATACCATAAATACTGTTTATGTGTAGCATCTACTGCTTTATCTTTGAATTAAGAGTGCTTCATTCTTGCTTCCTTCTCTCTTGCACGGAACCATGAGAATTCTGTGCATTTGGGCTTGCTCAAGTTTTCTCCATTCTTCAACAAGCCAGAGGAATATTTTCTCTCTGCTTGGCCCCACAGATACAGATGGGAACCAAGGTCACTTAAGAGAAAATCCCCTGCTACCCACACTCTGCACAACCTAGAGGCTTCCCTGAAAGCTTGAGGGCTGAGATTTCTCAAAAGCCCCATGGGAAGACCTGTTGGAAGCCAGTGGACAACCACAGAYAGGGAGAACACACCTTGTGGAGAGCTGACTTCCACCCCTCTGCAGGGATAAAGGGCCCTTTGAAGGAAC